GAACATCTCATTTCTAATTTTCATGTTGTATACGAAATGTACACAAACTCATTTCTAATTATATATATGCTAATTGTTGACTAAATATGCAAAATAAAAATAAACTAAGACCGTAAACAAGTGTAAAAAAATGCAATAGTAACAAAAAAAGCAAGAACCAAAACAGAATTGATTTAATATATATATTACATATATACCTATAATATATATAGATGTTTCTGTAATATTTTATATGTACCTATAATGTCACATAAACTTTATTAGGTGTGATTCGGTTAAAACTGCACCATTCGACCGTAAAACAAGAACGCACTGAATGTTTTGCGGGTTTTTCAAAATCTTAACCTACCGCAAATCGCAATCTTACAAAATCAAACCACACCACACCGCACTGAATACATTGGTTCAGCTCGATTTTTTGATTTCAGCTCGGTTTTGCGCCCATAATTCCTGGTCTTTTGTTCACACATATTAAGACTTTTAAAATTATAAAACAATTCACTAACTTAAATTACAAATATATTTAAAAGTCAATAATTAACTTTTGTATTTATTAACGATTTATCATATATGATATATCAAATTAATCATCTATTGACGAATTTCTGACATTCATATTGCATAAATAAAATAAATAAATCATTATAAATAAAAACTAAACTATTATTACTATTAATTAAATATAATAAAATTATTTATCAATTAAATAAATTTTAAATATAAAGTTATTATATTATATGAGTTGGAATTATTATAATATAAGATAGATAAGGACAAGTGCCATATGTCATTTTAATAATAATAATAATAATGTAATTATTTAAGAAGTATTTTAAATTTTAGACAAAGACTTCTTTATCTTCTTTATAAAATTAAATTTAGTTTTTTAACTAACATACATATAATTAATACTAGTACGTGAGTTTTCTTATATCAATATCTATTACTATATAATACGGAGAAGAAAAATTATTTGAACAATTCGAAAATAATCATTTCGTTTTCCCGCTTCAAGATAGTGTTTTTCCGCTTCTTCAATTCGTAAAATTTTTTTTTGAATTTTTTCAGCCTATGCAATTAGGTAACCAATCAAATCGAATCTTTTAGCATTCAATTTGGTAAGGTGTTCCGATTTTAGCATTCAAATCCGATTTCACTTCCTTTTTTTATGCCAATCAATCCGATTTTTTTGGTTGTTTCAAAATTTGTTTAGATTTATATTTTTATTTTATTAATATATTTGAAAGAGAATCAATAAATATTTATCATAACTTTTATTTTAAAAATAAATTTGAATAAGCATACCTTTTACTTTATATGAAATTCAAAATTACATGTTTTAATATATTAATAAACGTTTATTATTTATTTTTTCCTTATGTGATATAATAGAATGTCGGTATTAAATTTGTAAATTCAAACATTTAAAGGAAAAGATTCCAAACAATTTTTTTGGGTAAATTTCATTTTATCTTGGTTTTCATTATCACATTTCTAACAAACTAATTAGTATTATATTTTTTATCTACATTATCTAACTGATTTTTTATTATACAATTAATATAATATCTTAACAAATTAATCATTTGTCTAACCGGATTTATCTCTCTAACAAACTTGTCAATTTTTTTAAAATTACAATGGTATGATTATTCTTATGGAGATACTTATCAATATATTAAATATTTAGAAACTTTTTTTAAAAAATGAGTTATCCCTCCTTTTACTTTATTTGAAATTCTGACTTATATTTTAAATATATTATTATTTATTTTTTTACATGTAAATATTTATTATTTATTATCTAAGCGATAAATATTATTGATTTATCTCTTTAATAAATATTTATTATTTGTTTTTTTCCTTACGTGATATAATGTAAATTTGGTTACTAGATTTTTAAATTCAAACATTTAGGAAAAAACCACGAACAATTTTTTTGGTTACATTGCATTTTATTTTAACTTTCATATAATCACAATCCTAACAAACTAATTAGTATAATATTTTTTTAGCCATTTTTATATAATCGAATTTCTTAAAATATAATTAATATAACATTTTAACTATTTAATCATTTGTATAACTTGATTTAACTCATTATCAAACTTGCCAAATTTTTTTTAAAATTAAAAAAAATTTGAAAGATTTTTATTTGTAAAATAATAAAAAATAGCTTTACTTTAAAGTCTGGATTATTTCCATTATTTTTTGTACGTTAACAATCATATATTTTGGATTATTGATTTAAAAAAACAAATCAAAACCGTAAGTTTAATAATATTTCTTAAATAAAAAATATTGTATAAAGAAAAGTATTTAATATTATATATTTTTCATTGATTGTATTTATTTTATTTTCATAATAGACGAGATGTGAAAAATATAAATAATTGAAAATATAAATAATTATATTTAAAATAAAGTCTAAAAAATGTTTAAAATATGAACTCTTCCGTGCATCGCACGGGATATACACTAGTATATATATATATATATATATATATATATATATATAAAGGTTTGATTATTTTTATAATAATAACTATTTCCCTCCAAACAAATATTGTTTACTAAATCTGAAAATTACTTAAACATTTTATGGTATGTTTTAAAGGTACAATTAGGTAATTGCGGCTGATTTATTATGGTAATATTAATCACATATATCAGTCTCTAATATCTCGAGATACACATTCCCTAAAACACTAACTTTAAGAATAAAGTACATTATTTGATTTGTGTAATCATATATTTAAAGAAAACTTATAAATATCCACAATTAAAAACCAATAAACTTTTAAGCTATTTAACTTATTTAATTCAAATTATTTATTTTATATTGTGTATTTTTTGTTTAAAACAATTATGAATGAAATATATCTTTTAATTTTTTCTATAAAATGTTTGTTTATTATGATTTTTTTTTCGCAATAAAAATGCAACTGACCGTAAATAAAAATGTAACAAATAAATATCCATACAAAAAAAAGTAATAAATTTATTTAATTGCGTATAAAGTGGTATCAGTATTTGATATCTACTTATATAATCAATTTTGAAGATTTGAAAGTTC